GTGGGTGAGTATGTGGGTGAGTGAGTGTGTGGGTGAGTGAGTGTGTGGGTTAGTGAATGGGTGAGTGTGTAGGTGAGTGGGTGAGTGTGTAGGTGAGTGAGTGGGTGAGTGTGTGGGTGAGTGTGTAGGTGAGTGGGTGAGTGTGTGGGTGAGTGTGTGGGTGAGTGAGTGTGTGGGTTAGTTAATGGGTGAGTGTGTAGGTGAGTGAGTGGGTGGGTGAGTGTGTAGGTGAGTGGGTGAGTGTGTGGGTGAGTGTGTAGGTCAGTGTGTAGGTGAGTGAGTGTGTGGGTCAGTGTGTGGGTGAGTGTGTAGGTGAGTGTGTAGGTGAGTGAGTGGGTGAGTGTGTGGGTGAGTGTGTAGGTGAGTGGGTGAGTGTGTGGGTCAGTGTGTGGGTGAGTGTGTAGGTGAGTGGGTGAGTGTGTAGGTGAGTGTGTAAGTGTGTGGGTCAGTGTGTGGGTGAGTGTGTAGGTGAGTGGGTGAGTATGTGAGTGAGTGTGTAGGTGAGTGTGTAGGTGAGTGAGTGTGTGGGTCAGTGTGTGGGTGAGTGTGAAGGTGAGTGGGTGACTAGTGGGTGAATGAGTGTGTGTGTAATTGTGTTATGACCTGCAGCGTGGTGGTTGAACACAACACCTGTAAGGTTGAGACGAAACATTCTTGGTAGACCTCAACCTCAACCAATATGGGTGGAGGCATCAATGGGTGAAGTTCACGGGGGACAGGTTTCAGGTTAGCATCGATAAAGGAGCGATACAGAGGCGACTGACCGCCAGTGTGCGAGTGACTGGAGCAATTAGTGCTGGGTCATCAATCGACCTCTGGCCTTACTATTGCGCCTATTGGCAATTAACGTTTAGTATTCCTACAAACCATATACACACGGCATGGGCACACGTGTGTGTGTGTGTGTTGCGTGTGATGAGTGGTGTGCAGCGAGTGCATGGGGAGCGGTGGCGCAGTGGTTAGCGCACTGCGCTACGACACCCAGCGGGCCGACTTTGTTTCGTGCTCAGGACCAATAACAGTGGTGATGTCTGGGTCGACTCAGCCTTAAATGAGTCCCAGCTGCGGTATGTAAACAGCACTGGGGAGTTTCGATTTAAAGCTTTCGTGACTGCAGGGATTCATCTTCTTGGTTCTTTCGGTAAAGTCACGTAGAAGGGAAGTAATACAAAAATAAAAATAATAAAGAATTATGTTTTATTTGTATTATTTAAATAAAACATAATAAATAATTATTATGTTTTATTTGTATTATTTAAATAAAACATAATAAAGAATTATTATTATGTTTTATTTTTATTATTTAAATGAAACATAATAAAGAATTATGTTTTATTTGTATTATTTTATTACTTCCCTTCTACGTGACTTTACCGAAAGAACCAAGAAGATGAAGCACTGGGGAGACAAAGGCGGCCCTTCGTGGCGTTGGCCACCCAGCACTTGCCCCAAAGGTCTGTTAGAGCTATGCGGGGAATCTTTGTTCTTGTAGTGAATGTACATCTGATGTACGCCAATGATGTGCAGTTGTGTGTGTATACTGTACTCTATATGATCAGATACAAAGGCCCCCCGTGTAACCTTTAACAGATTGTTGAAGGCAGCGATGGTTGTGGCCTATTTCCACTCCCGGTTTGCATTTACCTCCCTGGGGTTTAACTGAAGGCTGAGTGGACCTAGTGGAGTCCCAGGACCAGTTCAGATATTCGTCGCTGTTAAGTTTTCCGGGAGCGGGAATCTTAACTTGGGTCGCCGGGCTCGCAGTGCACATACAAACACATATACACACAAAGACAAAGATCCCCCGTATAGCCTGTAACAGACTGTTGGGGCAAGTGCTGTTAGCGAGCAGCACCTATGAAGGCCGGTACGGCACACGAGGGAGTGGGTGGCCAGCACCACGCCCCACCGCCTTTGTCTCCCCAGTGGCGATGTTTACACGGCGCACCAAGTACTCATTTGAGGCTGAGTCGACCTAGGGGAGGCCCATCACCGGTTAGGATAATTGTCACCGGTGTTGGCCGTGAGCGGGAATCGAACTCGGGTCGCCGGGTTTGCAGCGTGGCGCGCTAACCGCTCCACCACCACTCCCCATTTCCATTGCACTACATATACACACACAAAGACAAACACACATACACACACACAAAGACAAACACATACACACAACAAACTTTTGACACATTGACACACACACATGTTCACACGTAAATCATTGTAAGATAAACTCAGCACATCGCTTACACACACAGATATAGCGTTTGTGTGTTGGCTTGTTTTGAGTGCAGATGTTAAACAATATTAGTTTGTGAAATGTTCGGTGCATAGTGAAATTCGTGGCGTTATGAGTATAAATAGTGTCGTGTTAATTACAACGTAATTATTAAACATAAGCAAACACACAAATCTTAAATCAACACTGGCTCAAAAAAGAAACCCATACATTTCCAGATCAAACACAGCACACCGCTTATCATGAACCGGTATTAATATCAATGATAATAACGATACAGTCATACATGAGACAGTCTTGCCCGTTTTTCTATGTTTTAAAAAGCACGTACAACATATATAACGAATCGTATTCAATCAATTCTTCAGTAAAACCTTTACAAAATATTACACAAGTGTTCCTCTCGTGTGTGGAGGTGCGGTTTCACTTTTGTTACGTCCGAGACGTCATCATGTTGCGAGACTGTGTGAGTGTTGTGTTTTTATCAGTCCCGATACACAATCGATAATAATCACATAACGATTGTGCCTCGTTGCTCAAATACCTTCCGATTACCAACTCTGATCCAGCGGTGGAAGTTCCACATTCGCACGGCGAGTGCTTGGATAGGACAACCTCGAGTTGACATCCCACAAAGTGGTACTTATTTTATCGACCCCATTCGGAGTGGTGGTGGTGATGCTGACGATGAGTCGACCGGGATTTGAACTCGAAACCAACGTGACACGCGCCTCTCAGTTGTTCACGACAGTCTATAGATACCTCGCTATCGGATTTAGGCGTCACACCGCACGGGAGGCGAATTACTCGGTCCACCGACGATTGCCGGGGGGTGGGTGGGGGAGGGGGCTCACCCCACGTTCGATCCGTGAGATTTTCCACTGGTGACACATTTCAACTCTCTGGAAAACGTCGAGAAGATCCCGAGGAACTGACCTCACAAATGCCCCCCTCCCCCCACCCAGCTCGTCTGTCCCGGATAGTTCACGACGGTCGGACGCGCGTGCCATTTAAATCACAAATCGGATCTTGCAACGCACGCGCATTAACCAAAAGCTTCTGGCGAGGAATGGGACGACGCCTCCGATCCGAGAAGAAATCCGCCAACGGGGAGGAGATGGATCGACGAAAATGAGCAACTTGAGAGACGGCGGCGGTGGCTTTGGGGAGGCCTCGAGCCAGCAGTGGATAGACCATGGCTGGCGATGAATCGACGCTTCATAATGGGGGATGTCGCGTGCGCATAATTCACGTGAATAACGCTCGTATAATAATTTACTTTAAATAATATCACAGTGTTAATTATCACCAAAGGTGGAGCGGTGGGGCAGTGGTTTGCGTGCCGTGCAAATGAACCCTGTGAGCCGAGTTCGACTCCCGGTCACGGCTAACATCAGTGGCGAGTGATACCCAAACAGCTCCTGGGCCCTCCCCGCACTTCAACAATCCGCACTGACCAGCGTGGTGAAGTATGGTAAAAAAATAGGTAAACAACTGAAACGTTAAATTTTGATTTAAAGCTTTCGTGACTGCAGGGATTCATCTTCTTGGTTCTTTCGGCAAAGTCACGTAGAAGGGAAGTAATAAAATAATAAAAATAAAACAATTAAAAAATTCCCTTCTACGTGACTTTACCGAAAGAACCAAGAAAATTGAAACTTTGTGAGTTGGGTGGGTGGGGGTGTCATCCATCCAGCAGTGGATTGGCAAAGGGCTGTACATGAATTATCATCCCAATCAGAATCCTTTTGAAAATGAGTTCCAATTAATCACCGCCTCGTGAACTGTGCTGAAATTTAACAGATGCTGGCAAGAAGCGCCTTGCATCACCATCAGTCTCAACGTATCAACACGTGCTGTACTGTATTATTATTCTATAACCATGGCCGACATACATTTCTGGGGCAAGTGCTATCTGAATCTGTCTTGTGCATCCCACGTGGTCGATCCCGCCTAAAATTGACATCAAAAACGTCAGCGCTAGGAAGACAAAAGCGGTCAGGCATGTGTTATTGCTGGTGTTCATCATGGTACCCCTTCACGTGAAACGTGTGTGTCATGCCGACCGTAATAGGTGCTCGCTAACAGCTCTTGCTTCTCCTGCAGTCTGTGTGCTTCTTAAACGGCGATGTTATCTGTGTACGTGTGTTTATGTATGTCTGCTTCTACTTGCATGTGCGCGTACACAATGTGTTTGTGTGTGTGTATATACGTCTGTGTACACGCATGCGTATCTTTGTCTTTGTGTATTTGTTGCGTACGTACGTACAGAATATATATTGCGTGTGCGTGAATGTGTATGTTTGTCCGTGTGTATGTATGCGCGTGCTTGTTTTCATGTGCACGGTTGTTATGTACAGGATGCAGTGAGCGGTGGCGCAGCAGTTAGCGCACTGCTCTATCAACACGCGGTGGCCTGCGTTCAAGTTCAATGCTCGGCAACAGATAAACGTCAGTGGCGTTCTGGGCCTTCCCTTTCACCAACCCGCAAAGACCAGTGTGGTGAAGTATGGTTAACACCCCCCCTCCCGATTTAAAGCTTTCGTGACTGCAGGGATTCATCTTCTTGGTTCTTTCGGTAAAGTCACGTAGAAGGGAAGTGATAAAAAAACATAATAAAACAATTAAATGTTTTATTTTGATTCTATTATGTTTTATTTTTATTATTTTATTACCTCCCTTCTACGTGACTTTACCGAAAGAACCAAGAAGATGAACCCCCCTCCCCTCCCACTACCCACCACTGACACAGATTAACATAGGCAGTGTTAAGATGTCAGGAATTTTCACAGTGCTAACAACAGTGGTTGGTGTCATGGCGAGCCAACTATGCTTTGCAATCCAGAGGTTTGATTCGACCTCCTGGCGCGGCAGTTGAAACAACAATATCCCCCCCTCCCGTCCCCACCTCTGTCTACCCAGGATGCGTATGGTGGGGTACCCCCACGTCTTCCAAGATGTCTGGCCAATGTGGAAGAGTAGACCAATTACATTGCAGATGGGGCGTCTCTAGAGCTGCCTCGAGTCGAGGCCCTTTTGCACAGCAAATGGTGGGCAGTTGCAGGGCTGCTCCTTTATCTGTTCACGTAAGTGGTTGAGACCGCACGAGGGCAGGCAATGTTGCTTGTGTCAGCAGCAGCAGCAGCAGATTGAAACTCATATTTAATTCAGAGCAAGCATCCTGCCGCACGTGAGCAGGGAGCGAGAATAGCACAGAGGATAAAGCAGCAGTGGGAGGAGGAGGAGAGGGAAACCGAGTGTGAGATATGAGAGGCGATGCTAAGCAGTGGGCACACCACACACACACGGCTCGCAGCGTCAAACTAAACTGCGAGTCCTATTTTTATTTGACCAGGTAAGGACCCCCCCCCCCCCCCCATCGAGCTGCATAGCTCTTTGTCAGAAGCGACCTGGCCACAAATGATAGCTCAACGAAGTGGCTTATCATCACGTGGACATTCATAGCAGCCAAACGCTCTAAACGCACGTTTATGCATATCCACAGTAGGAGATATACAAAGATCCCCCGTGTAGCCTGAACAGACTTTTGGGGAAAGTGCCGCTAGCGAACACCTATGAAGGCTATATATTCTTAGGTTTTTTTCGGTAAAGTCACGTAGGTAAAAAAATTCAAATTAATCAAAGTTAAATAAAAATAAAATAAAAATCACGACGTTTCGGAGGCAACACACGCCTCCGTCTTCAGGTGGAACAGTCACAGCACGATAGCTGTATCAAGTCACCTACGTGACTTTACCGAAAAAAACTAAGAATATGAATCCTTGCAGTCACGAAAGCTTCAAATCTAGAACCTATGAAGGCTGGTAGGGCACACGAGGGGGTGGGTGGCCAGCACCACGCCCGGCAGGCAGCCTTTGTCTCCTTTGTGGTGATGCTTACACACACACACCACACCAGATACTAATTTGACTCTGAGTCGACCTAGGGGAGGCCCAGGACCAGTTCAGATAATCACCACCGATGTTGGCCGTGAGCGGGAATCTAACTCGGATCACCAGCGTGCTAACCGCTACACCGCCGCTCCCCACGTTATTAGATAAAGTATACATCTGCGAACATACGTAACGGATTGCTGGTCAATTCATAACAAGCATAATAAACAGCGGCAAAAACAGCTGGACTTTAACAAAGTGGCTCTAACAAAAGATCCTAGCCTTTGAGGAGTACAGGGTGCGTTCAGAGGAAGCTGGGCATTTCATTGGGTAAGCGACTTGGAGGTTCGTAACACAGAGCGGTGGCAGGAGAGTGCTGTAGATGTCACCAGGAGGTGTTCGTGATGGGTGGGGATACGTGGTGCAAGGTGGTGGAGGGCAGGTCACCCAGACAGGTGGATTGGCAACCAGGGGCCGGCGATCCGAGTTGAAGACCTAAAGTCACGTGGAGGTGGTGGTGGTTGTGGTGGTGGTGAGGTCGTATGAAACATCTCGGCGGTCGGATGTCTACTTTGCAACAGCTGTTATGTTCTGGCAGAAGGAAGGAAGCGATGGCGCAGTGTGGCAGCGTCAGCAGCACTGGCAGTGAAGACCTCTTCGTTTATTTGCGTTGTTTCCCCATCACTGCGAGTCAAGGACGATCTCAGCCATTTTGAGCGATTTTTGCCTCTTTCCTGACAAAGGCCGGTCATCCGAAACGTTGAAACCTTCGTTTCATCTCAGCGACAGTAAAGACAAAACAAAAACCGCAAATGCTTCCATCTGCTGCGTTTTTTCGGGCTGCACCGCGCGTTGTTCGGCACGATGTCCAACGTTCCGCGCCACGCGCCGGGAGATTTAGATCTTCCGCTCCTGAAGAAGCCTCCGGCCATGTGGAAGGAAACGTCGGGCGTGGTGCCGAGCAAGAAGCGCTACAACTCGAACGCCACATCGGACAGCCTCACGGCACAATCGCGTGGCGAGCCGCTGCAGTAGGTAAAACAAAGACCTGCGATGATTTTAAAATGAACGTCTTAATCACGAGCCACCCTGCCTCGTCCTTCCACGCGAAAATGAGAAATCTCAGCAGACACAAATAATAACGCTCACACGCGCGGCGACGTACAATTTTAAAAAGTTCTAACAATTTCCCTCCCCCGTCAAGGTTATATGCACACACACGCATAATGTTAATCACCGTCTCTGTGTAGTGTGCGCACGTTTCATTCGTGTGCCCGTTGTCTTTCAGCGTTCGCCCCGTTCACGTAATATTTCTGCAGGGCGACACGATCCACACCCGGCCGCCCGCCAACACGCGTGCAGCGGGCAGGCAGCTCTAGAGAGACCGACTTCCATTGGGCTTCATGACTGCGAGTTCATTGCCATGCGTACGTACATTGTCAGTGTCCTCGGCTTGCGTGCGATCACGACATCACTTCGAATGTTCACTCCCGAGTAGTTCCGTTTACGGGTCGCTCGCCTCTCGTCTTTGCGGACAAGTCAACGTGGACGCTTGGAGTGGCAGCGGCGGCGGTGGTGGTGGTTGCTTCACGATGTTCATGCCATCGACCGAGATTCGCGTCGTTTAAAATGTATACTCTGGGGTCGTGGGCACACACCGCCCCCACTCTTCTGCAGCTACGCCACAGAGTTATTTTAGCGTCCGCTGTGAAGCTGACGGGCGTGCTTTGCTCAGTGGTGACGATGGTGGTGATGGTGATGGTGGTGGTCATGGGACATCACATGCGAGAAAATGCACGCCGAGGAAATGCGGAGAGTGAATCGATCCGTAGATCGAGACATTGTGGTGGCTTCGGGAAGCCTTTACCCAGCAGTGGATTGCCCACGGCTGATGTTCATGATGACATCGGTGTTACTGCTGCTGATAAATAAATGATGATGTAATGCCGTTGGTCCTGCTGATGAACATATGATCATGATGTAGTGGTTAGATACAGAGATTATGATTTGATAATTATAATTATTATTATGGCAATGCTGCTGCTGATGATGATGATGGAAAGTGCATATTGCTACAGCTACTGCAGCTACTAATCATGCCAACAATGGCCACAACCAACTCAACACATCACTCCCCGACCGTCACCACCATCATCATCACCGTGCATCGTACACCACTCCCCATGAATCACCACCACCACCACCACCACCGCACTTTGCATCCTCCTCCGCTGCTCTCGCCCAGTGCCAGGGATTCATTTCAGCCGGCGTCCACCCGGCTTTGCAACCCGACTCCCGCTCTAGGGCAAGCACCGCATCCTTCTCTCCCACGGTGGCCACGGCTACTCCAAGGACGCGTCAACCGCTCCGATCGACGCAGCGACCCGGCAAGCATTCCCCGCACCCGGCAACTCCAAATCCATCGTACTTCTCGCTCCGGGCGGGTGGGGGAAATGAAATCCGCACCCCGCGTCGCCGCGACCACCGTCACCGTCACTGTATGGACATGTATGGCCAGTTGAAGCTGCTTCCCGACAGCAGCATGTCGCGAATGAGCGTCTCGATGGGCGTCTTGCCGACGAGCCGTACGAAGAAGAGCTGCTCGATGACTGCGGAGGAGACGGTGCGCAGCGAGGGCAGGCGCAGCAGCAGCTTGCCGAAGCGCGTGGGCTGGCTGGGGTACTGCGTGCGCACGTACTCCTCGAGCGCGCACTGAGACTTCTCCTGCAGAGACTCGACGTGCGCCGGGTCCGAGAGGCCGCACGCGTCTGACGGGACCGGGGGGGGGGGGGGGGGGACGGACGGACAGAGAGAGATTGAATTCTAGATTTGAAGCTTTCGTGACTGCAAGGATTCATATTCTTAGGTTTGTTTTCGGTAAAGTCACGTGGGTAAAAAATTTAAATTGATAAAAGTAAAATAAAAATTATTTTTATTTTACTTTTATGAATTTTAATTTTAAATTAATAAAAGTAAAATAAAAATAAAATGTATTTTTATTTTACTTTTATGAATTTTTATTTTAAATTAATAAAAGTAAAATAAAAATAAAAATTATTTTTATTTTACTTTTATGAATTTTAATTTTTTACCTACGTGACTTTACCGAAAAAACCTAAGAATATAGAGATTTTATCGTAACTGTTCTAACACGTAGGCTTTCGCGGCCCATGTCATCCATTTGACAGCGTTTTTTTGGGGGGGTTAGAGCGTGTAAATGTATCACCTTACTAATTGTCTTTGTCGGGTGGTGGCGGGTTTAAAGACACACGCAGAACGGCCCGCGGAAGGAGACATTAGAGAGCTCCCGCCGAGATCCCCTCAAGTGACCTCAGCTCCACGCGCAGCAAGGAGCAACGCGGGAGCTGGTCACCATCGATTTTTACCCAGACGCCAGACACACAGAGAACTGTGCGGAGGCCGATAGACTACGCCGAGACCTAGAGACCCACAGACCAACTTAGAGACCCATAGCCTCAGACAGAGTTGTGATCAGAGATCGCAACCGGGTACCCGATACCCGTACCCTACCCGATACCCAGCTACCCGTACCCGGCCGGGTACAGGTACGGGTACCCGTTTGCGACCCTGGTGCGGCCGGGTACGGGTAGACCGTGAGTCACTGGTGAGTAACTGTTTGTCACTCATTTCCCAACGTCTTGTCTCTACTCACAATTCAAGTTCCTAGAATCAACCCACCCGCACCTGCAACATGGCCTCATCCCAGAGGTTGCAATCAGGTACCCGATACCCGGCCGGGTACGGGTACGGCCGGGTATGGGTACGGGTACCCGTTTGCGACCCTGGTGCGGCCGGGTACGGGTAGACCGTGAGTCACTGGTGAGTAACTGTTTGTCACTCATTTCCCAACGTCTTGTCTCTTCTAACAATTCAAGTTCCTAGAATCAACCCACCCGCGCCTGCAACATGGCTTCATCCCAGAGGTCGCAATCAGGTACCCAATACCCGTACCCTACCTGTACCCGGCCGGGTACGGATAGGGTACGGGTACGGACGGGTACGGGTACGGGTACCCGTTTGCGACCCTGGTGCGGCCGGGTACGGGTAAGCAATCAAAACCCGTTTGCGACCTCTGGTTGTGATTAATACCGGGTTCTCCAGCGTAGCCACCTTTGTCTCTCCAGTGCTGACGTTTACACGTCGAACAAGATGCATTTTTAAGGCTGAGTCAACCTACAGATGGCCCGGGACCAGTTCTGAAATCGCTTGCCCACTGGTGGTAGCCGTTGCCGGGAATCAAACTCAATTATAACGCGGTGCGCTAACCGCTGCGCCACCGCTCCTCACATACGTACACGCATTCTCCCTCTCACAAACACACGTGCAGTCTCTCTCTCTCTAACGTTCTCGCTCTCACACATGCACTGTCTCCCACAGCCAAAGACAAAGATCCCCCCGTATAGCCTTAACAGGCTGTTGGGGCAAGTGCTGTTAGCGAACACCTATGAAGGCCGGCACGGCGCACGAGGGGGGTGGGTGACCAGCACCCGCTACTCATTTTGAGGCTGAGTCGACCTAGCCGAGGCCCATGACCGGTTCAGATAATCGCCACTGGTGTTGGCCGTGAGCGTGTCGCTGGGGTACGCGGCCCAGGGCACTAACCACCGCCCCCCCCTACACTCTGTCCCACGCACACACGCACGCAGATGCATCTTTCTCTCTCTCTCACACACACACAGAGGATCCATTCTCTCGCACACAAACACAATAAAGCACCCTTTGCACGTTCAAGCCGGTCAATAGAATCTCCCCCCCCCCACCACCAACACAACCACCACCGCCGTTTAGTCGTCGCTGTTCCACAGCTCCGATCCATCGATCGTTTAAGCGACCGCCCACACTCGTTGTGTGTTCACTGTGTTCATTCATCCGACTGCCTGTCCGCGCCACTCCCAATCCACAAGCACGTCAGCACTTGGCTCACGCCGCTTGTAAACTCACACCACCACCACAAATACACTCATACCAACACCACCAATACACTCACACCAACACCACCACAAATACACTCACACCAACACCACCACCAACACCAATACACTAACAACACCACCACCACCACAAATACACTCACACCAACACCACCACCAACACCAATACACTAACAACACCACCACCACCAATACACTCACACCACCACCACCACAAATACACTCACACCAACACCACCACCAACACCAATACACTAACAACACCACCACCACCAATACACTCACACCACCACCACCACAAATACACTCACACCACCACCACCACCAATACACTCACACCACCACCACAAATACACTCACACCACCACCACCACAAATACACTCACACCAACACCACCACAAATACACTCACACCACCACCACAAATACACTCACACCAACACCACCACCACAAATACACTCACACCAACACCACCACCACAAATACACTCACACCACCACCACCAATACACTCACACCAACACCTCCACCAATACACTCACACCAACACCGCCACCAATACACTCATACCAACACCACCACCAATACACTCACACCAACACCACCACCCATACACTCACACCACCACCACCAATACACTCACACCACCACCAATACACTCACACCACCACCACAAATACACTCACACCAACACCACCACAAATACACTCACACCAACACCACCAATACACTCACACCACCACCACAAATACACTCACACCAACACCACCACCAATACACTCACACCAACACCACCACCAATACACTCACACCACCACCACCACAGGGACAAGTGTTGTTAGCAAGCACCTACGAAGGCTGACACGGTACATGTGGTGGGTAGTCAGCACTACACCCGGCCGCCTTTGTCTCCCCTGTGCTGAAGCACCACAACAGGTACTCGTTTAGGGCCAAGACTGAAACAGACATCACTCGTCACCGAGTTCACAGCTGAGTGTGCTCACCATTGCGGCAACCACTTCCCACGCAGAGACATAAACAAAGCCAAAGCACCACAGAAATATATAATCTTATAGACCATCGAGACAAGTGCTGTCAGCGAGCGCCTATTAAGTACGACCTGTACAATAAACAAACTAAATAAAAGATAAAATAAATCCTAAAAATTATTGAAATAATAATAGAAAAATAAAAATTATTTTACGCTGCCAAGCTTGTTGGTGCTCATTCGGACGCTGTCTTTCCGACAGCCCTGTTCTCCACCAGAGGACGGCTGCTTGCGTTGTGGCCGAAACGTCGTGAGAATTGTATTTTATTATGTTTTATTTTGATTATTTCCCTACTACGTGACTTTACCGAAAGAACCAAGAAGAGGCGTATCGAGCAGCCCCCCCGGCGCGAGCTCACCGGACGTGAAGAGCACGATGGCTTTGAGGCAGCTGTACTCGGCCGAGTCGACGTGCAGCGCCTTGAGCTTCTCCACCTGCTCCTGGAAGATGCGGATGTGGTCCATGAAGGCCACCACGCGCTCGGCGGACATGGGCGACGCGTGGAGCCCAGCGGCGGCGAGCAGCGGCGCCACGTGTAGCGGCATGGCGCACTGCGCCGCGTTCAGCACGAACAGCTCGCTCCACACGAGCCGTAGCAGCGCCACCTGGTCCCCTACCTGACGGCCGGGGTCACGCGCGGGGGGAGAGGGGGGGCAGTGGGGTCAGGGCCAGGCGAAGTGGGGAGCGGGTGGCAGGGACGCAGATGACCTGGACACCATCTCATTAATTTGGAGTCTATAGAACTGGTTCCCAGCCTGATGGAGAACTCTAATTCTCAACCTGTGGCACGGTGGGCCGTTGGGGTCCCGCGAGGCCGTGGGAAGTGCTCCGTGGAAACGCGGCAGATACGAATGTTGTTCAAAGATTACCGTAATTTTTGTTACTGCCCATCACACAGCTATTTGGGTTCGTCGATAATATTCGTGAAAAAGCATTATTTTTGCGCCTGGTGCAGAGTTGTTTTGATTGTGAATCAAAGATGTTACAGGTGCGTGGTGATCCGCTAACAATTGTTGGGGGTTGACATTGGCCCGCGAGTGCAGAAAGGTCGGGAACCACTGCCCTAGAGACCATGAGTTATCTCGGTACGCCATTACAATCTGGAGAATTCAATGTGGTATCGAGGCACTTTGTGGAGAGGCTGGAGACCCCTCCCCCCTGGCAATCGATGCGGAGACCCCCGTGAACAACCTCCCGAAAACTCCGTCGGGCGTGACCCGATCCGCACAAACTCTAAACTAAACTATAAACTATTTACATTTTTGACTGAAAGCTTTCGTGACTGCAGGAATTCATATTCTTTGGGTCTTTCGGTAAAGCCATGTAGATAGAAAAAAAAAATTATCACGATGTTTCGAGGCAGCTTTCTTGCTATATTTTGTCACCTGATGACGATTGTTTGTGTTGCGATCGAAATGTCGTGATAATTTTATTATAATTTTTTCTATCTACGTGGCTTTACCAAAAGACCCAAAGAATATGAACTATTTTTTATTTGTACCAGGTAAGGGCCCACTGAGCTATGTAGCTCTTTTTCAGAAGTGACCTGGCCACAAATGATAGCTCAACAAAGTGACTCATCACGTCGAAATGTCCATCAGCAGCTGATTACTTTAAACGCATGTCTCTAAACGTGGAGGGAAAACCGGAGGACTTGAATAAAAATCCACGCGACCACGGCGAGACAAGAGAAGCACGCAAACTCCAAATATACAGGATGCGTCGGGGGGGGGGTCGGGATCGAAGCCACGACCTCCTGTACACCAGGCGAGGCAGTTAACATCTCTAGATTTGAAGCTTTCGTGACTGCAATGATTCATACTCTTAGTTCTTTCGGTAAAGTCACGTAGGTAAAAAATTACATTTAAATTAATTTAAAAAAAAATTAGTCTTTTATTTTTTATTAATTTTAATTTCATTTTTTACCTACGTGACTTTACCGAAAGAACTAAGAGTATACTAATAGGGGTTTTCCCCTTTTTTTCTGGCAACAAAACTGACACCTTTTGCAAGGAATCATGCTTACATTAACCACAATAGTTGCAGTCAAATGCAAACAAAAAACAATACTCTGATAATTTATGCATTGTCCTTGAAACTGATTGGTCCACACCAGAGACAGCTTTCTTTGGAGCCTAGTCTCATATGGCGTTCGACCAGATGACGCCAAAAGGCGCACAGTTTAAAGACAACGCACTACCAGAGTAATGAGAGCTCGGGGTGAGCAGCATTGTCAAAGACAATGCATAAATTATCAGATTATTGTTTTTTGTTTGCATTTGACTGCAAGTATTGTGGTTAATGTAAGCGTGATTCCTTGCAAAAAGTATCAGTTTTGTTGCCAGAAAAAAGGGGAAAACCCCTATTAGTATATTTTGGTACTGGCAAAGGAGATCCCATGATGATGAACTAAGAGTATAGTTAACGTGTCGCCCCCACGATGGCGATATCGAAGCCCCCGCCCCCGCTGACCTGTAGTTCGGGGAAGAAGGGAATGTTCCGGGCCCACTCGACGGCGCTGAAGAGGAGCCGTGCGGCGAGCTCGCAGATGTTCTCGATGCCCATCAGGTTGTTGGGCTGCATGCACTGGCTGCCGTAGCGCGACGTGGGGTAGGGCTCGGCGCGCAGCAGCAGCGACACGTAGCCCGACAGGTACGAGGCGGCGTGGCCCCCGCCGCCGTTCAGCAGGGGGTCCCCGCCGTTGGGCTGCAGCGCGTACGCACCGCCCGGAGCCGCCGGGTGCTGCATCGACGAAGGCATGCGTCCCCGTTGCACCGCTGCGTTGGGAGATTTTTGGGGGGGTGAGAAGAGAGGGGGTCAGAGGTGGAAACGCGTGTAAGAGCAGTGTCCTTCACTCAGAGGAAGAGAGTCACTTTCGCCGAAGAGACATCGTCAGCGTGATGGCCATCACGCCGTTTGAAAGCATTGAGGTTTGACAGCCACGATGATGGGGGGGTGGGTGGGTGGGGGGCGGGTTGTTTTCACGTTCGCGTATTGTCAGGGGCTGCACGTCAGGGGGCCGTAGTGAAGGCCGCCAGTGGCCGGCGGGCCTTGCGGCGAGGGACACCGGTGTGCTGTAGTTACCCCGGTGTGCAGTAGTTACCCCGGGTGCAGTAGTTACCCCGGTGTGCAGAAGTTACCCCGGTGTGCTGTAGTTACCCCGGTTCACGTCGGGGATGCGTTCGTGAAAGGCACAAAGACGAACGTCGAAACGACGTAGACACCGAAGCGATTTGCCGGCGAGGCGGCAGAGGTCGCAAACGGGTTTTGATTCCTTACCCGTACGTGTACCCGGCCGCACCAGGGTCGCAAACGGGTACCCGTACCCGTATCCGGCCGGGTACGGGTACGGGTATCTGGTACCTGATTGCGACCTCTGGGATGAAGCCATGTTGCAGGCGTAGGTGGGTTGATTCTAGGAACTTGAATTGTGAGAAGAAACAAGACGTTGGGAAATGAGTGACAAACGGTGACTCACCAGTGACTCACGGTCTACCCGTACCCGTACCCGGCCGTACCAGGGTCGCAAACGGGTACCCGTACCCGGCCGGGTACGGGTAGCCGGGTATCGGGTAGGGTACGGGTATCGGGTACCCGGTTGCGACCTCTGCTAGGCGGTGTTTGGGGACGAAGGCTGAGAGGTGATGGATAACGAGAGACGAACGGACGACGCCGTCGATGATGTCAAGCGTTGGGGCCTTGAGGCGACGCCTCAATTAAGTGGCGACGTGTTTGCGAAACGACGTGAATTGGGGAGGGAGATGTCAATCGGGGTATTACTGAACCACAGACAAAGTCACTCATCGTGACAAATGTACCGTGCCACCCCTGTCTGGGTTTGACAGTCCAGAAATGGGCACCTGAGTCCTGGTGGCAGGAATTTTTACCGAGATCTTCTCGACAGACCTGTTCTTCACCTGAGGACGGCTGCTTGCGTTGTGGCCGAAACGTCGTGAGAATTGTTTTATTATGTTTTATTTGTATTATTTTATTATTTCCATTTTACGTGACTTTACCGAAAGAACCAAGAAGACGAGATCTGTGGTTGAACTTTATTACGTGTCGGTAAAGCTGCAGTTTATATTTGGATATAGACTGAGAAACATCGCCGGCTAAAAAAAGTCTGGGTTTTGGCTGTGCAAAAATGTGAAACGGGGGGGGGGGGGGGGGCATTCTCATGTAAATGTCTTCACTAATTGCGGTAAAAGACTGAATGTCGAGTTTGCAAGCCAGAATATCCCAGGTGTCCAATGACGGCAAATACATAACGACCACGTACACAGTTTAACATCTATAACTTAATATGTGCACGCATTTATATAGCTGTCAACCCATACAATTTACCCGTTTTCTTTTACAGGGAAATTGAGTTTTCAGGTCCATACGGCGTACAGCCGTTTTCAATACGGGCAATTTTTTTTCCTATTTGTTTGCGTTTCTCCCTTGTGGTGGGACTTTGTCGGATGAACGTTGATATTTCTAAGGGGCACGGGTTGATCAATAAAGGTCTGAATTGGTCCGTGATAAGATACGCACTGATAAGGGGTTGACGGGTATGAATACATAACGACCTGGTACACAGTTCAACATCTATAACTTAATATGTGCACGCATTTATAAGACGAACATGGCAACCAGTGGACCGACACACATTGTCAAATTACCCCGTTCATTGTCCTATCAGTGTTGTGTTCCTTCTCAGTAACTTCATCTAGGCGTGCGTTGCGTTGATCGATTTTAATTATCGACTGTTATCTTCCCGTCGCCGTGTTTTTATTAATTCAGCTTCGTGTTCTTGATTTTTCGGTAAAGTCATGTAGAATGGAAATAATAAAATAATAAAAATAAAACATAATAATACAATTCTCACGACGTTTCGGCCACAACGCAAGCAGCCATCCTCAGGTGGAGAACAGGTCTGTCGGGAAGACTTCTTCACCTGAGGATGGCTGCTTGCGTTGTGGCCGAAACGTCGTGAGAATTATTTTATTATGTTATATTTTTATTATTTTATTATTTCCATTCTACGTGACTTTACCGAAAGAACCAAGCAGATGAATCCCTGCAGTCACGAAAGCTTCAAATCGAAATTCAGCTTCGTGTTGTTGCACTTTAGCAATCATGCACCGTCGTACACTCAGCTTAAGTTACATTGCGTTCTGTTGCGCCACAAACGAATAACATTATACGACGGTACAATCAGTTTGGTCACAGGCACCCCCCACCCCTCCCGAGCATGGAACCTCCCCGTTTACCCCGGGGGGGGTCCAAGCCGGCCTTGGTTGTGCCCGGGTCGCCGAGGCGAGAGAAGGGAGCCCCGAATGGGCTGGTGGGAGAGGGATGGGTCTGGTCTCCCAGCTGTCTCATAATTAAGATTTTTAATAGCTCGCTAACGAGCAACTATGTTTGCAACAACAACAAACCACGCGCAACAGAGTGGCTTTGTTTTAAGAACGGGAAGTCGCGCAACGTTGGAGTGTTCACTCACAAGCTGTGTAGTGCCTCTGTGTGTGTATCAAGGTGCCCATCAATGAGTGGAAGGAAACATTTTACAGATGTTGATGAGCAGTTTTGATTAGTTTAAAACGTAGGCTTTCGCGACCAATATTATTCATAATCAACGTTGTTGGGTTTAGATCGCGTTATTTATAAATGTGTCGTAACCCTCCACCACCCGACACGGCCAATCAGCAAAAAAGTGTCACGTTGACAAAAGACAAATAGTTCACTGCTTTAGCCCACCGGTGTGTTGAAGCGTGAAACCACAACATTTATTAATTGGCTTTGCAGGGTTTGTCACGATATATCGACGCGACCATATCTCGTGCGAAATAAGATCATCGGTATTCCTTCACATTGACCGTTTCGCAAGTTGTCATGATTTCGTGATAACGTAACATATTTCTTCAGTGTTTTATTTCCTGACAATAAAACAGCTTTCACTGAAACAAACTCTATAATTCTAGTTGTAAATCAATCACTAGTTTCCATTCAATGTATCCTTTGGCAAAATGGTTTGGCAGAAGTAATTGACGGGCATTGTGGTTACGTTTGATCCTCGCTCCGCGTAATCCCGACTGGATGATTTCCAGGTTAATTTTTTTGTTGAACTAAAAAAAAACTTAAACCATGACTTCTAGATTTGAAGCTTTCGTGACTGCAAGGATTCATATTCTTAGGTTTTTTTTCAGTAAAGTCACGTAGGTAAAAAATGTAAATTAATAAAAGTAAAATAAAATAAAAATCGCGACGTTTCGGAGGCAACACAAGCTTCCGTCTTCAGGTGGAACAGTCACAGCACGATAGCTGTATCAAGTGAATACAGCTATTGATACAGCTATCGTGCTGTGACTGTTCCACCTGAAGACGGAAGCTTGTGTTGCCTCCGAAACGTCGTGATTTTTATTTTATATTTATTTTTTATTTTACTTTTTATTAATTTAATTTTTTTTACCTACGTGACTTTACCGAAGAAAACCTAAGAATATGAATCATTGCAGTCACGAAAGCTTCAAATCTAGAAGTCATGGTTTAAGTTTTTTTTAGTTCAACAAAAAAAAACCTAAGAATATTTAAACCATGACGCCAGCACACATTAATGGCAAACTCTTGCGCCATCGCGTCACGGGATCTTTAACATCCACTTGTGAAGCAGCAGCAGCGGCAGCAGCAGCAGCAGCAGCAGGCGCGTGTCCACGATGTTAATGCCCACGAGTGGCGAGTGCGACCGACCAAGAGGCATCTCAGCTGCCGACGTCCAGAGCCTGAAGATTTCCAGCAGCCCCCTGGCAGTTGACGTATCGGCCCGGAAAGGAAACCGCATTGAAGCATTGAAAGACCCCCCCCCCCCCGCCCCATTCACCATTACTCATGATGACCTAACGGCGAAAATGAGTGTGAGCACGCCCGACCTTGTCACATCTCATGGGGCTAAGCAGGCCTGGAGCCTGGTTGGTAGTCAGACGGATGACCTCCAGTGTGTTGTATGTGTGGGGTGAGATGTTAACTACCTCGCCTGGTACGTAGAAGGTCGTGGTTTCGATCCTGACCCTGACGCCTGCTGTATATTTGGAGTGTGCGTGTCTCTCTCCCTCTCTCTCTCTCTCCACGTGGTCGCGTGGATGTTTCTCAGGGTTTCCCCCTCCACATTTAGAATCAACATTCATTTCGAGTATTTGGCTGATGTGAATTTCCACGTGATTTGTTGAACTATCATTTGTGGCCAGGTCGCTTCTAAGAAAAAAAAAAACGATTATAGCTTACCTGCTAAAATAAAAAGTTTAGTTTAGAGAAGTGGTCACGAAATGTCAGTGATCCTGAATGCGACCTCGTCACATCTCATGGGGCTAAGCAGGTGGTCTGGAGCGTCGTCGTATGGATGACCACCAGCGTGTTTGTAGGTGTCTTGAGGTGTGGTCTGTTGACATCAGTGCCGAGTGTCAGCCCCTCGTGTAGAGAGAACAGCGCGGTGGTGGGGTCGTCTCCGGGTCCGCTCTGGTCCCCTCTGCCATGTGAAGCCAACAAAACTCTCAATAATGGTTCTCAATAATGGTATTGACCCAACTGGCAGGACCCTATTGTATCTGATCAAATGGAGTACAGTATACACACACAACTGCACATCATTGGCGTACATCAGATGTACATTCACTACAAGAACAAAGATTCCCGCATAGCTCTAACAGACGTTTGGGGCAAGTGCTGGGTGGCCAACGCCACGAAGGGCCGCCTTTGTCTCCCCAGGGATTCATCTTCTTGGTTCTTTCGGTAAAGTCAC